CTGTTCCATACGATCCATTCCCCTAATTCGGATCGGCGCTCCATCGGCGGCAGTGGGCGTGTCTGGAAGTCGCGGTTGCGCCGCTTTTGAGGCCAAGGGAAACCGCTCGCTTTGTCCCAGGAAGGCGCAGGGGCAACAAGCCCCCGAAATCGCCCGGCCCGGCGGCCCGCAGGCTGCGCTCCTGGGTCTTTTCCGCTGTCCTGTGGGCAAGGCCAGGGGTTTTTCTGGTTGGAGGGTGGCTGAAGATTTGGCCTCTCGGGTTTTGGATATGACGCTGTGCCAATGTGAAAGCCAAAGGCTTGGGGTGGGGCCGGGCATGTTCCGTTGAATCTTCTCCTTTTGCCCGGTGTTTCGCCTCGGCGTGCGGTCAGTAGCCCACAAAAGCCGGAGTACTTTTGTGTAGACAGGGGCCTAGAGGGAGCGAGGGATGTATGGTGGCAACAGCTTTGGCCACATTTGGCGCAAGTGGGGGCCAAAGAGTGTGAAAGGCTCAACCGGCCACCCACAGCAACATGCCGCGGCTCTTGATCAAAGGGGCCGCTCAGTGCCTGGGTTTCCTGGGCAGGAAATTTGCCGACAAGGCCTCGGGGATTGCGAGGATGTCACCGAAAGGCGAGGTGCGGGTGGTGCAGGCGATTTTTTTCTGGCCTAGAGTCCATGATTGTGCTTGAGCCCAGACCGATGGGTGGTCATAGTCAGACATTTTTTCGTCACCTCTAGCACGTTTAGTTTGTGAACCGCCATGCATTTCCTAGAAATGGGTGAACCGGGTCAAACCGATCAACGGTCGCTTCGGGAGCTGGCGGGTGGAACTCCAATTTCTGGCGGCAGGCTCTGGCTGTTTGCCAGAGGTTGGTGTGGAGGTGGTGGGCTAGGCTGCAAGCAGGCGGTAGGTGTTGGACTCATGCTGTTGAGCACCGCTTTCGTGTTTTGTTTGCAAAAACCCGCGCGCTTCTCATGTAACGTGAATTCCAAAAAGTGGTGAAAAAGGGGGAGCGGGGGCCTGTGACGAAGCGGAGTTGGGAGAGGTGCAGGATTTTGTCCGCATCGCAAGTAGCAAGCCTGTCCCAATCTGGCTGTGAGTCAAAACCAATGGTACCATTTTTGGGGTAGATGCACCACCCATTTTAGTCGATTTAAGTGGGGATTGGGATGTTCTCGGGGGGTCACCGGGATTTTGACCCACAGCCATCTGACACTTCTTCGCCCGGCTGAGAGGGGCAGTCATGCAAACCACCGAAAGTTGCCCGGAGGTGCCGTCAGCTGCTGGAGCGCTGCATCCGGCGCTCTGCGGACTCGGGGGCGGGGACAAGGGAGGGAGGGGGGGGGGCAGGAGTCCTTGGATTGGGCAAATTGGGACGAACCAAGGCAGGGCTCCTTAAAAGATACATTTTGCCCAATGAAACATGGCTTTTTCCACCATTACAAGGCAATGTTCAGGTGTATAATGCAAGGATCCCTGCAAGGGCACAACCAGGGAGCCTATGGTCCCTTTGGAATGGGCATAGTAATTGGTGCCAGATAGCCCGGTTGATTGCGGAGAAGGTCGGGAGATGGCGCTCCAGATGCTTTCGTAACCCGTTCGCTGAAGAGTTCGTGTAAAGGAGCGTGCAGATATGACGGGCCGCCGATGTGATACTAAGTTTGATCATTACATTTTGCCATCGCAGCCAAACAGCATTTTCCTGGCCACCCTGCCTACTACAAGTTCCATGGTTTTCTATGTCAACGTGAGGTTTCCCCCACAAGCACTGGCCTTTGCACATGGAGCGTGGAGCGTAGGGAGCGGAAATCCTTGAAGCCTTTAGCTCGGGCTGGCGCGCTGCTCAGCCAGATCCTGCGTTTGTTTATGCGCCGGCGATGCAAGTCTTTTGGCGGGGGCCCTCATTGGTGCGTGTGGATCCCAAGAGTTTCGACTTTTAGGTGAGGTTCGAGTTCGGGCTCGCACGTTTCTCAGCATGCCGCGCAAAGCTGCGGAGCCTGGTCTTTCTCCAAATCAGCGTGTCGGTTTTTAGGGGACACCCCCCCCAAAATAGTTTCCCGCGAAAACCAAAAGAAACACAAAAAAACCAAAAACAGGTGCCCTCAAGCCTAAGAGATGCCCAAATGGTGTAGTTTCCCTTGGCAACACGGGTGCAAAAAGCGCCCGCGTTTTGGCGAGGCTTTCGACTTGGAGGATCTGCCCTTCAGCCCCGAGCTGCGGCGACTTCTGGAGGCCGTGGAGGCATGCGCCGCAAAAAATCGAAAGTGCGGGCGGGAGGGGAGTTCTTGGCCGAAGGCGTAGTTGTTGATAGTGTCTGTGCAAAAGTGTCAGCCAGGCGAATATGTGTGTGTACCCAGGCTAATTTGTGCTGCTTGTGCATTTGTGTGCATATCTCTGCGTAGGAAGCTGGAAGGAGAACCAGCGATGTAATCCCATTCAAACCAAGGATCAAATCGGATAAAGGCAAGGAGCAACACCCGTTGGAGCTTCATCGCAGTCGATTCAGGTCATGGCCCAGCCATGACCTCAGCCTCAGGCCGAGCGGGCGCGCTTGCAGCATGAAGAGGCGCAGGCTGGGCAGATGTGTCTTCCGTGTGTTTGATGCGTATGGACTTATGGCTTGCTGTTGCTTTTCTTCTGAATTCGTGCTCCTTGAGGGATGGGGCATCAATGGCTTTCATTTTGTATCTCTAAAGTTAGTGCGAAGCATGCTGATCCTTTTTCGCCGGTGCATTATGTGCTTGCTTTGGCGTGCCATTTGCCAAATAAAGAATGACCCCCTACATCCCGACAGCTGGCCTCGAAGAGGTTTTGCTTGAGGTTTGTGCTTTGTACCCCCGAAGGGGGGGGGGGTGACAAGATTGTGTGCACACAACCAGGCCTCAAGTGTCCGAGTAGAGCCGAGACATGGGGTGGGGGCTGACTCAGTAGAGGGTACGCGGCTGCTGTTTTGCGTTGCCCGGAAGCCAAGACGCATGCTTGGCCGTTTGTTTAGGCTTGCTATTTCGGAGGTTTTCCCACTGCCAACCTGGCACCTGGCCGGAACACGTCCTTGTCCATTTGCCTAAGGTAGGTTGCCATTTCAACGTTCGGGGAGGGGGTGATGATACCTGGTGCCAGCCTTTCGGCCTTCGGCCCGTCCGCTCTCAAGAAGAGCCAATACGGATAGGCCAACCCTGTGCTTCAGCCTCTCTTTTTCTCTAGTGTGCTGCCGGCGGCAAGCAGAAGTTGGGGTGCAGCAATTGCTAATGATTGCCTTGGAATGCATGAGGTGGAAGCTGTTTTCATGCAATCCTAAAGCAGAAGTAGCGGCCCCCGCTGTCAATTGGTATTCCGAAGATAAAATGCATTTGATTGGCGGACAGCTCAACATTGAAATTGCGATCTGCCAACAGCCAGTCGGCACAAACTTCAAGGGCACCCCAGGCTTACGGCACCCAATAATTGCAGACCACCATGTCTTCATTTACGTGACCTCCAGCCCTGCCTTCAGCAGAGCAACAGGCTTCCTGCTCTGCCTCTCAACTAGTACCGCTGCCAGCTTTCAGAGTGGGTGGTGATGGACCTTTACCCCTTGAGCGCCAAACACAATCCTTGACGACTTTTTGTTGCGGGCCAGGGGTCCTTTGTCCTTGTATTTGCTCCAAACAGATTGTGGTGTACGCTTCTATTTTTGTTCTTCAACCACTAGCGCCCTTCGCCGTTCTGCGCGAGACGCGCCAAGCGCTGAGACGAGTTCCGCGCGTCAGGTGGCGCACCTGGCGCTCGCCCTCACCTCTCCCAAGTTTCGGCCCAGCTGGCAGGCGCTCGCGGAGCTCGGTGCGGGGCCCGGGCACAGGGCCACGGGGGGCGGAGTGAGTGGTGAGTCGAGAGATTGACGGGGGACTGCCAGCGCTTTTTCAACCAGAGCTGCAGCACAGGGGCAGTCGCAAGAGAAAACTCGGACACAAGCACTGACATCAGCATCCAGTTTGCTTTGATTGTCGCACTTGCCCAGATAAGTTTGATAGCCCAAGCGTCCTGAAGTCTGCCACCAGAGTTGGATCAAGGAAGCTGTTCATTTGTCGTTTCAAGGCCAGATTCTTAACGATTCCCACGAGGGACTCACCCACCCAATGGAACCATACAAGTACCATACAAGGGGAACAGCTTTGACCTCAAAGCTGATGGGAAATCCACAATGAGGGAGGGCGTAGGGTTGCGAGCCTCAGGACCAAACCGAATCAAACCTTTGTCTCGGGTGGAGGGCTGATTTGGCCCCATTGTCCCTTTTCCCTTCATTGTTGACCCAGGATTAATAAATCCGTCCCATTATTAGTTTTTTTTTCCTCCACAAGTAATGAATTCTCACTAAAAGGGGACACCCCCCTCAACCAGGGTTTAGGGTTTAGGGGTTTATTAACCCGGGGTTAACATTGCAAGAACCTCAGACCCAGGCTTATCGAAAGTCTTGCTGAGGTGTGGAGCCGCAGGCGCTTCGCCCCGCGGCGCTGGCGAACTTGGGGGGCGCCCTGGCGGCGGCTGAGGCGCATGCGGAGGTGCGGACGGGTGGCTTGGGAAGCGGTCGACGTTGTAGACAAAGGTGCGCGGTGTTTTTCCCCTTTGAGGTCTCATTTTCTTCAAATCAGGCGGGGGGATTTGGTTCTGGGCAACTTGCCGCTACCTGAGCCACAACCAAAACCATGGTGGATGAAGGTTAAGGGATAGTCCCCGCGAGAAATAGGCTCGGATTTCGCCCTTTTGATTGTTTACACGGTTTTAGGTAGACAATTTTGTTGCAGGTGTTGATTGCGACTCACCTTACCGATGGGGTTCGCCACCGGACCCATGACGAAGGTTCCTTTCATAGGAAACCCTTGTCTCAGGTTGGTGCACATCGCAGGGGCTTGTGGGTGGCTTGGGCCTGGTGCAGCAGCCCAATGAGCCATTCAGTGTGTGGCAACACTGGCTTTTGTGCGCATAGCCTGCGCAACCTGAACAACAACAAAGGTCCAATCCAATGTGGATTGAGGGTGCAACGTGCCGCCTTGCTCTCGTCCCTTTTGGGTCCCGGAAAAAGGTTCTGCTGGCTGGTTCTTAGGATGGGTGGGATGGGAGGCTGGGTGTGCTTCGCGAATTCCAGGCAAGCGCCCGCACAGACTCGCTTCCTGAGGGAGCAGCGGGGTTTGAGAGGGTATTGCGACCATCCTTGCGAGCATCCATTTTGTTCGGCCTTGCGGGCTTGTTCTTTGGTTGGGGCAGTCGTTTTTGCAGCTTCTTGGGGTGTGTGCTAACTGTGAAGGAAAGGACTCTTGCGCCTCGTGGTGCTCATTTGGGGGCTTCTGCTGCTCTAGCTGCTTTAATTACCCCCCGCAAGGCTTCGTTGCGCAAGCGGCTGAACCGCGCAAAGTGCACGCCGCTCTCAAAAACATGGCCCTGTCACGCTTTCTGGATGGCACTTCCTCCAACATGGCAAGGAGTTTTGATACCAGCAGCCAAAGGATTGTGATCGGACCTACGGTTTGCTCACCGGCACTGGTTTGAATTTCTTGCGTCGCTCCTCTGAGCTGAGCTTGGCCTATTCGCGCTCGAGCCTTGCCTGCTTCCCTGAGGCCTGGCTGTGGGACCTGTGCGCCGCAGCTCGGCCTGACTCACACGCCAAGATCCATTCCGGGGGACGGGTTTGATGTTTGCATTTTGGGATGCTGGTTTTGACACATGTTGCCCCGCTTGGAACTGTTGAAACTGCGGCCGCTGCCTTCCACTTCCTTCCCCTTCTCTGAGTGGCTGGGCGTCAGCTCCCCGAAAATGACAAGTTGACAATGGCCAGCATTCTGAAGCGAAAGCAGAAGGCTTGAAGCAGTCGCAGTCTGGTATGGCGGCCTTGCCGCTCTTAGCTACCGTGCAGTCTGTCGGTTAGCTTTTGTGGAGGCAGCTTGACCGGATCAATCACCCCCCGGATCAGATTCCAACTTATTGGTCCATGTCAGCTTTGTATGGAGGTGAAAAATGGCAAGACCCAATGACGACAGGGAGCCGCAAGGTCCGCAAGGTTGGTTCGCATGGGGTCATATGTGCCAAACCCACCTGCAGCCCCCGCAAAGAACAACTGGATTTTGGTTTTTGTATCGCAACATGGGAGTGCTGTACTTTCCCTGGGGCAATTTATTGCAAACTGGCCTTAAGCATAGTCTTTACTTATTACTTGAAGTTAATTCTGATGAGTAAGTCCCCATGTATAATCCGAGGGTGTACGGCAGTTTCCTTGGGCAACTGGGTTGATCCCATTGAAAACTCAACTGCCAAGCCGTGAGCGGCTGCGGCTCGCTCAGGATGTGGGGCCGCAGCCGCGACGGCGGCCCCTGAAGGGCTTGCAGGCTTGGACAAAGCGGCATCCGGTGCGGACGCTTGAGTTCGGACGCTTGCTTCCTTCAGAAGCCTGAGACTCCTTGTTTGGTCCCAAGGCTCCTTTGGACAGCGGCCATTTTCGTACCTGCCCGCGCTCTTGGGTGGAAGGGTTGCGTAGCAGCCATTTTTTCAATGCCCCAGAGCGGGCAGGTCAGCGTTGGATGCCGGGTGATGCGATCGGTTTAGTTGCTTGCATTAGGATTATTTTGTTTGTTCTCTTTCCTTATTTCGTTCAAGCTGAGTCCATGAGCCAAACCAAGAGCTCGGATTCTGATGAAATAGGATTGTCGGTGAATGTAAGGATCACGCTGTTCCGACATATGAGCAAAGCTTTGGACATTTTGATGTCGGACGCCTCTGTATCTTTTTCTGTTAGATTGACCAGGCCCGGCGATCTGTGATTGACCCTGCCACATCGCGCAGTGCGAGAACACCTTCCCAGTGCAGACAAGTACATTCACGCTGCACTTGCGATGTGTTTCTCTCGTGGGGTTGCCTGCAGCGTGCCTCGAGCCATATTGCTCATTTGTCGGGTGGCCACGCGCTTGTGCGCATGTCCCAGTGTCCAGAAAGCACATTTCTGGCTTGCTGTGCTTATGGATTTGAAGTGTTTTCCTTCCTGCAACGGCTTTGTTAAGGGTTGAAGAAAAAATCGGGCGCTTTAGGCCCACTTTTCCACAGGGATCCCAAGTGAGAGGAGAGTAGGAAGGGCCGAATTTCAGCACCGCCATGTCGCGGTGGGAATGGATGGGCCGGCCAGGTGGCCTACACCACGGTCTCGCGTGGTCTGGTGGAGCGCTCCGTTGAGGTCCTGCCGGCTCGGGGGGGGGGGGGCCTGGGGGCTCGGGAGGGGGGGGGGGGGCAAAACGATTCTTGGATTCCTGATGTGGAATCCGGGAACCCCCAGTGCACATCCCAATCCAACCACTAAAATAGGTTCTAAAATGGGTGGTGAAAGCCTACCCCAAAATGGGATCCCCTTGGTTTTGACCCACAGCCATGTCTTGTTGATTGGCGCAGAAGTGGCTGACTTTCGGGATGCGCTGCGGGACATGGATACCACAAGAAACAGAGTTCGCTGCTCTCTGGTGCTCAGCATGACTCGCAAACGCGAACTTATCGCATGGTAAGGTGAGTTCCTGGATGTTCGGAAAGAACCGGTGTTGGTTTTTTAAACTGCTGAGCTCATGGGTCAAAACGCACGTAGCGTCATTTCTCATTTGTGCGGGCTGGTCCTGGCCTTTCTGCAACGACTTTCACTCTTATCGCATCGTTCCTTGTTGATGTGCGCATCGGATGGACGGCCGCCTGTTTTTCCCAAACCCTTGCAGGGTGATTCTCAGTCCAGTCAGTGCACTGGCAAGAAGCCCCTTCTCATTGCACAAGGGGGTTTGGCGGGGTCCGGAAAAAAAGCGGCCAGTCCCACCGGATGTTTGGCCTGGTTTAATCACCCTAGTTGCGGGGTGATTGGTGATGTCGGAGGCGCTAAAAGCCAGCCCAGAAAGGGAGTTCTCCTTGATTGCAGGTTCCAGCAGCAGACAATTTCATAGACCTCGATGACCGGTTGCCGAGGCGAAGCTGCTACTCTTGGCCGCTCTGTCAGGCGGGATGTGGCCATTCTTCACCATAAGCCTCAGGCGTTCATCGCTTTGTTGTAAACTGTTTTGACATGCATATATGTATATATATATGTGTGTGTGTGTATATATATATATGCACATACATATATATAGCTATATATATATATATTTGTGTATGTATGTATGTTTCTATATCTACATAACTATTCGCACATTTTTGGCTATCAGTGAGCATGCCGTAGGCGGATGAACAAGACGGGTAGATGCCTCATGGTTTTTGCTCAGCATCTGATCCCTCGGGCCCAGCTTCAATACCGGCACGACTGCGCGTCGGCGTGAAAGTGTTGGGACCCGTCCGGGCCTCCGGGCCGCGAAGCACCTGGTAGAGTTAAAGATCCTTAGCATGGCGCAGATTGAAAGCTGGCCTCTTGCAGCATGGAAGGTGGCCGCTTGTGGAGCTGCAGAATTGGCCGGCTGTGGCACGGCATCAAGTGGGATCCCCTCCGCCGAGGGGATTTCAGCATTTGCCCGGTGATTCAGAAGCTACTAACTGGGACAGGCTGAAGCGGCGCCCTTCGAAGGGCATGCAAAGACGTGCCTTTTGCTTCAGGGGAGCACCTCTTCCTGCTGGGCTCTCCGGGTACCGCCAAGAGCCTGCTGGCCCGGCGCCTCTCCAAGGCGCCGTTTCATGCGACCGGCAGGAGGTGTTTGGCAGGTCCTGCCAGTTCTCGAGCCCACGAACCGGCGGATCATCCGTGTTGATTGGGTGGGGCAAAGTTATGAAATGCAGTGCAACGAACGACGACGACTGAGAAGAAGAAGAAGAAGAAGAAGAAGGAAAAGAAAAAGAAGACTAAGAAGAAGAAGAAGAAAAAGAAGAAGAAGAAGAAGTATAAGGCAAAGTTAGAATACAAATAATGAGCATAGCAATGATTATAGAGGACACACATAATGATGATACAAATGAACACAAACACAACCACAGACAGAAACACAAGCACGACACAAGAGCACCGCCACCAACAACACCACCACACCAACACCAACACCAACACCAACACCAACACCAACACCAACACCAACACCAACACCAACACCAACACCAACACCAACACCAACAACATCCACAACCACAACCACAACCACAACCACAACCACATCCACCAACAACAACAATTTCAACAACAACTGCAACCGCAACCGCGACAGCATAAACAACAGCAACGACAGCAACACCAAAATCATCAAGAGCAACAGCAGCAACAGCAAGAGCAAGAGCAACAGCAACAACAACAGCAGCAAGTGAACAGGCGATGGCAATAGCAAGAGCAAGAGCAACACACAGCAACAAGAGCGATAGCAACTGCAGTCTCGATAGCAACAGAAGCCTTAGTGGCAATAGCAGTGGCAACAGTTTCTGCAACATCAGTAGCAATAGCAATGACAACAGCAGCCGCAACAGCAGTAAGTTTGTCAACATACCACAAAGGAGCAGAAGAGACACGCTCGCCAAGTCTGCCTCCATTAACGTGCGCCGGAGGTGTGTGAAGGCTCCTTCTTTGAACGGCTCTTGACGAGGCAGGAGGTCCACGTCGCGTTTTGTTTTGCGGGCACTGCGGGGCGGGGGCGAGGAGGGTCGGGGGGGGCGGGGGGGAGGGGGCAGGTCAATGTAAAATACGACGCCAAATGTTAGTGGACACGAAGTTTGGTATCTGCACACTTGCGCAGGCCATTCTTGGATATGATTGCCACCTTGCATTCGCGGGGAGGGGTCGCTCGGAAGGGGGTATGCTCCCACAAACCGCGCTGGCTACCCGGCGAAATGGTGCCTGTCTAGCGGCAAGTGGTCCCATGGATGTTTATCAAGGTGGCCCCCATAGCTTTTTTTTTTTTTTAACACCCAGAACATGACAACTGATGACATCATCCGCATATCCACCCTATTCGTCTACCTTTCTGTGGGCCAGTTTTGCCGTGCCTTTGTGGGACCTGGCGCGAGAGAAGTAGAGCAACCAGAGGAACATGTCACTCGCCGAGGCTTCTTTTGAAAGACTCTGCGTGAGGTGCTTCCTCGTAAAAGGCGCTTTCCCATTTTCCAGAAAAGTTCTAGCTTCAGAGTCATTTTTGTTGATTCTGGCACCTCACGGCATTGCCTTTTGCTTGAGACCCTCACCGGCCTGATTTGACACTTCTTTTGCCTGCATGAGCACTGCAAGCGAGACCGGAGCTGTTGAGGATGCAGCTGCCCCCGAAGAACAGTATTCTTCCATTTGCTTAAGACTATTTTTTATTTTCACCTGTTGATTGTAAAGGGAGTCTATCACTACTGGACATATTCTTATTTTTTTAAAGGTATTCTATTCCTCCATGTTTTTTGGCAAGCACGCCGCTCCTCTCCCGTGCTCTGACGCCGAAAACCGACCCTTCCAAGGTTCACGGTGCCTGAGGAGCTCTTTGGGCCTCTGTCGCTGAGCGCCCTGGAGCAGGCCCGGTGTTGGGCGGCCCGAAGCCGTGGCACGGTTTGGGCAGTTTCAGAGTCCTCTTGGACATTTCCCCAGAAATCCAATGTCCAAGATCCAGCTGGGGGGCATGGCATGGGTGCTTCTGGCGTGCCACTTCTCTCCAATCCTTGGGCTTCTACAAAATGCGCCCGAGTCGGCGCACCTCAGTCCGCGGCCCTCAGCTCCGAGGATGAGCTGCGGCGGAAGACCAAGGGCTATCTGCCGGAATGCGACGTGGCCTTCATCGACGAGATCTTCAAGGCTGGGGCAATCGTGCTGGGCCTTTGTTGGCCACAGTTCCTCAAATCTCGGCTGCACGAATGTGTTGATGGAGTGCAGGATGTAGCTTTCTGCGATCACACTGTTCACGTTGCGCTTCGAAGGATGGATCAATTGATCTCTCCTCACCCTCATCACCTTTGTGTCGGACCTGCCCCTGCATCGCCACTTTTTGTGGTTGGCAAAAGCTTCGTGCGTGGCACGGAAACCGCACGCCCACCCCCCCCCCCCCCCAGGCGCAAAAGTCCCGCTTCATGCCGCTTCCGTTTCGGGCCGGAGGCGAACAGCTCCATCCTGAACGCCCTGCTCGTGATCCTCAACGAGCGCCGCTTTGACAACGGGGACCAGCGGGTGGAGGTGCCGCTCTGGTGCGCGGTGGCAGCCTCCAACGAGCTGCCGGTGGGGGGGGGGGGGGGCTTGGGGGGCGGGAAATGGGTCATGATTAGCGGCTAGCGCGACTTTTCCAGATGGCCAGGGTTCAGCTGAACAGAGTGCATTCGAATTGGGATGCACATCTTGAAGGTTGAGTTTGCACTTCTGTGGGCAGGCAAGGTGAAAAGGTGGGGCTTTGGGGAGGGTGCTTTCAGGCAAGTTCTTCTCAATCTTTGTTTCTGCACAGCGGGCCAGGCCTTCCGCATGTGAGCCACAATCAAAACCTGGGTAAACGAAGGTTAGTTTGGGATGGTCGCAACCAAAAAAAACGCTTGCAGCCTTCTACCATTTTAATAACATGTTTTTGATTTTGACTCATGTCAGGGTTCACATAGTTGCCAGGCTTTTGTTGGCCGTAGCTCAGGGATCTGTGGTGTAAAAAGACCTTAGCCCTATTTGGCCATGGGTCAAACCCCCGAATTTTGTGAACATCCCAATCCCCACTAAAATAGACTAAAATGGGTGGTGCACCCAGTGCACCTACCCCGGAATGGTCCCATTGGTGTTGACCCACGGCCATTTGCTCCCCCATCGAGAGGACACGGATGAGTTGGACGCCCTCTATGACCGCTTCCTGCTGCGTCGCAAGGTGGCGCGGATCTCCAAGAGGCAAAGGGGAGGGGTCTGAAGGAAGTGACCAATGGGTGAAAAAGGCCAAGATGAACTTGGTGGCTCCCAGCCATCCCCTTAGCCTTTTAGCCTTTTAGTGTTTAGTGGTAGTTGCCACTTGATCTTTTAGCGGGGGATCTGAGGGCAGCCCAGTGAAATCTCCCCCTCAAAGAGATACTTGCACCAAAAACCTCACCAACTGGTGTTGGGCAGTGCTGGGCACGCATATCTGCTCAGCGTGCTTTCCTGCACGAAGTCGCAGAGGCACTCTTCGGAGATGCGTGCCCTGCCCGAGACCCCAAAAGCCAAAGAGAAGGATGCGCACTGTCGGGGACGTATGAGAACAGGCTGCACACCGTGTGCATGGGATGCCTGCCGCAGGTCGGTGCCGGACTTCTTGCGGCAAACCTTAGATCAGGACCTTCTTGCTGATGGTGCTTGTTTGTTCCCGCTGGACCCCGAAAGGCTACCTCAGCTCCATGGCACGCGGAATTGTTTGCTTGGCTTCGGCCGTGCAACGGGTTTGGTTGGAGCTCATTCCCGTCCCGGGGGGGGGGGGGCAGTGAGCTTGGGTTGGTGTGGAAGTGCTTTCAGAATCAAACGCGTAGGTCACAAGGCTTGCACGAAGAAGAGCGACCAACGCCGGATGTACAAGGTACCCCGCAATTTCGAGGTCTTATCAGGTGCCCTTTGGGAAGCTCCGGCCGGCTGGACACGGGAGACGGAAGGATGACGCGCCGGCAGGACAGTGTGGGGTCCTCGCTGGAGGTGGGCTCTGGAGCCTTGCTCACCATTGAGGACTCGCGATGATAGCTTGGACGGGGAATGTGCGGGAGGGTAGAGTTGAAGTCAAAGTCTTGGGCTGGAGCCCTACCCCAGTGAAGGTCAAGGGTCGGGGGCATTGGCTTGGAATTGGCTTCAGCCAGGTCTTGTATTTGAGTCGAGCCCCCCTGCGACGCTATGGCATAGCCACGGTCTTGCCCCAAGTGAACGGGCAACCAGTGGGTGGATACCTTGTCCTCGTTGTCTTTTCGAACGTTCAGGCAATTGCTCGGGAACTCATCTTCTGCCCAGGCGCCAGGCCCTGGAGGCTGAGTCCAATTGGTCAACCAGCTTGGCAATTGAGCCGAGATCCCGCCAGTTTCATGGCGAGGGCCTTTCTCAAAGATGGGGACCCCTCCAGCCTTCTGGCTTCCTTTGATGCGATGCCCTGGAAGCTCACAGGCTTTTGGAAGACCTTCGGTGAAGCCCTTGTCTTCCATGATTAGGATGAGGGGTCAAAAGGATGAAAAAAGCCCGGGCACCCGGAAGATCAATGTCCTAAACACAGAACCACCCTCTGTCAGGTGCCATGGCGGGGGGTAAACCGCGGTTGGTTTTGTCTCCAGGTCTTCTTGTGGCTCCACAGAACCCCCCCTCAACAAAAAATAAATCAAAAACCCAACAAAAAGCGAGAAACGAATCCCCCCCCAAAAAAAACACACACACACACACAAAAATCCAAGAAATAAATCCGCACCCCCAAAAAAACAAGCAATAAATCCCCACCAAAAAAAACAAGCAATAAATCCCCACCAAAAAAAAGCAATAAATCCCCACCCCCAAAAAAACACAAGCAATACATCCCCACCCCAAAAAAACAGAAGCCATAAATCCCCACCCCAAAAATAAATCCAAGAAATAAATGCCCACCCCCCCCCCCCCCCCCCCAAAAAAAAAAAAAGAAAGAGAAAGAAGCCATGGGAAGCTTCATGCCCTTTTGATCCAGGACTCCTGGGACTTGCAGCGGCAAGCCCAGGCGGTGGACTTCCCCGAGGCGGGGCGGGCTCTTCGTATGGGCGCGTCTCTTTTTGTTTTGGAGAGATCAAGGGAAACCACAAAAAGAAGACCCCCCCCCAAAAAAAAGAGAAAAGAAATAAAACCAATAAATAGATAATATTCAATCTTTTGGCTCACCCTATTTTGGCACCGGGCGTCGCTTATGCAGAGTGTGCACTGGCTCACTTTCGCTTTTCCTCGTGAATGCTTCAGGCGTAGGGGCTGGGATGAAGGTTTTGGGTGTGACCGAGCCCCTCCACCAAAGACATCCAGTCCCTGCTTACAGACCTGGGGCCGCGCCTCAAGGGAAGCAGTGTCAGCTGGCCTAGGGGAAACTGCAGTTGACATCTGACACGAATTGGTGGGTTGGAAGTTTTTGCAGGGGCCCTCAACTGTTACTCCCCATGGAGCCCACTAGTCCAGCATTTCTAAGAGGAGCTCAAAATGGGGGACCCCGTTTTCGGGTTCCGGGCAATTTTGGAAGCTGTGCGGAGCTCGCCGGCTGTTCGGGCACCGAAAAAGTCCCCAGGAGCTGCTGGAGATCATTGCGGAGCTCAGGGAGTTCCTGGCAGAGGAGTTGGGGGGGTTGCGTCCTCGATGACGGACAGATAGTTTTTTTTTTGGGTTTGGCGCCCAAATCACGTTAGACTGCACCCAATTACGTTTTTTGCCGGTTCTTCCTTGTTTCTGTTTTTGTGCGGTTTTCTAGCAGTTTTGGGGCCGTGCTTGCATTTTGCGTGTATGTTGAATGATTTTTGCAATTTGATGCATTTTGTGCATTTTGATGCATTTTGATGCATTTTGATTCTTTTTTCATGCATTTTGATGCATTTTGATGCATTTTGAGCATACACCACGCATGGAAAAGGCATGAATACTTTTTGGCGTGCAGTTTTGTGTGGATGTTTTTGCATGCATTGGTTAGCGGCATGAATTTCCTTGTGTTTGCTTGCGTTTTGCAAGTATGTTACAATATGTTTGCCGCATTTTTGGCAAACACTACGCATGCAAAATGCGGGCTATATTGTTCTGTGCCTTTTGTGTGCATTTTGACATGCAGTTCTGTTCAATTTTTCTGCAAAGGCATGCAAAATGCGTTCTTATGTTTGCTTGCATTTTGCATGCACATTGTTTTGCATGCGTTGGTTATGCATTTTTGGGCATACTTCATGCATGCACAAGGCATGCAACATGTGTCTTTGTGTTTGCTTGCTTTTTGCATGTATATTGCGTGATTCTTTCAGCATGTTGGGCAAACACTACGCATGCATAAGGCATGCAACATGCGTGCTGTATTGTTCTGCGCCTTTTGTGTGCATTTTGGCATGCAGTCCTGTTTCTTTTTTTTTACATGCATTAATTATCAATTTACATTTTCTTGCTTAGTTACAGTTTACACATATATTACATTGTTTACCGCATTTTCGGCAAACACTACGCATGCAAAAGACATGCAAACTGCGTGCTGTATTGTTCTGCGCCTTTTCTGTGCATTTTGGCATGCAGTTCTGTTTGGATTTTTGGCCTGCATTAGTTAGGACATGTTGCCTTTGTTGTTGGGAATTTGTATGCATGTGTATGTTGCATGCATTGGCTATGCAGTTTGGGGCATACTTCATGCACACAGAAGTTGCGTTTGCTTGCACTTTGCAGGTATAATGCATGATTTTTGCCGCATTTTTGACAAACACTACGCATGCAAAAGGCAGGCAAACTGCGTGCTGTATTGTTCGCTGCCTTTTGCGTGCAGTTTGGCATGCGGTTCTGTGTGGATTTGTTTGCATGCATTGGTTAGGACACGTTGCCTTTCTTTTTGGGACTTTGTATGCGCGTGTATTTTGCATGCATTGGTTGCGCATTTTTGCTCATACTTCGTGCATGCACAGGGCATGCAAAATGCGTTCTTGTCTTCACTTGCATTTTTAATGTCTGTTGTTTTGCATGCATTGGTTATACATTTTACGGCATACTTCATGCATGCACAAGGCATGCAAAATGCGTTGTTGTGTTTGCTTGCTTTTTGCATTGCAGCATTTTTGGGAAGCACTACGCATGCAAAAGGCATGCAACATGCGTGCTGTAGTGGTCTGCGTCTTTTCTGTGAAGTTCGGCATGCATGTTTTTTGGCTTTTTTGGCATGCATTGGTTGGGGCACGTTGCCGTTCTTTTTGGGATGTTGTGTGTATGTGTATTTTGCATGCATTGATTCTACATTTTTCGGCATACTGCATGCATGCACAAGGCATGCAAAATGCGTTCTTGTGTTTGCTTGCTTTTTGCATGTATTGCGTGAATTTTGCAGCATTTTTTTGGGAAACACTACGCATGCAAAAGGCATGCAACATGCGTGCTGTAGTGGTCTGCGCCTTTTCTGTGAAGTTCGGCATGCATGTTTTTTGGCCTTTTTGGCATGCATTGGTTGGGGCACGTTGCCGTTCTTTTTGGGATGTTGTGTGTATGTGTATTTTGCATGCATTGGTTATACATTTTTCGGCATACTGCATGCATGCACAAGGCATGCAAAATGCGTTTTTGTGTTTGCTTGCATTTTGAGTGTACGTTGCCTGAGTTTTGCCGAACGTTCAGCAAACAGTACGCTTGCAAAAGGCATGCAACATGAGCGCTTTATTGTTCCGTGCCTTTTGTGTTCAGTTTGGCATGAGTTCTGTTTGGCTTTTTTAGCATGCATTGGTTGGGACATGTTGCCTTTCTTTTTGGGATTTTTATGCATGTGTATTTTACATGCGTTGGTTATGCATTTTTGGGTATACTTCATGCATGCACAAGGCATGCAAAATGCGCTCTCATCTTTGCTTGCATTTTGCATGTATGTTGTTGTGCATGCATTGGTTATACATTTTAGGGCATACTTATGCATACACAAGGCAGGCAACATGTGTCTTTGTGTTTGCTTGCATTTTGCATGTATGTTGCACGAATGTTGCAGCATGTTAGGCAAACACTACGCATGCAAAAGGCATGCAACATGCGTGCTGTCGTGGTCTGCGCCTTTTGTGCGCATTTTGGCATACAGTGCCGTTTTTTGTTTTTTAATTAGCAATTTACATTTTCTTGCTTAGTTACAGTTTACACATATATTACATTGTTTACCGCATTTTCGGCAAACACTACGCATGCAAAAGGCAGGCAAACTGCGTGCTGTATTGTTCTGTGCCTTTTCTGTGCATTTTGGCATGCAGTTCTGTTTGGATTTTTGGCCTGCATTAGTTAGGACATGTTGCCTTTGTTGTTGGGAATTTGTATGCATGTGTATGTTGCATGCATTGGTTATTGAAGCATGCAACAGGCATGCAACATGCGTGCTGTAGTGGTCTGCGCCTTTTGTGTGCATTTTGGCATGCAGTGTTGTTTCGTTTGTTTTGCAAAAGGCATGCAAAATGCGTTCTGCATTGCTGTGTGCCTTCTGCGTCGAGTTTCGCATGCGGTTCTGCGCGGATTTGTTTGCATGCATTGGTTAGGACATGTTGCCGTTCTTTTTGGGATGTTGTGTGCATGTGTATTTTGCGTGCGTTGGTCATGCATGCACAAGGCATGCGCAATGCGTGCTGTATTGTTCTGTGGGATCTTGTATGCATGTGTATTTTGCATGCAGTACCTTGTGTGCCGGTCTGTTCAGTGCCTTTGTGTACCCAGACCATGGATGACACTCCCATAAAAAAACAACTGCATGCTGTCGCTTTCCGTTGTTGCTGTGCTTTTCTGCAGGAGCCCAAGGCCAAAGTTCGGCAGCCGCATGGCAGATGTGTTCGCTATAGTCAGTCCTTCACGCCGCGCATGTTCCCCCCAACAGAGAATCCAACTCCCCGTCGGTTTTCGGGCCGAGGGATCCGAGCAGGTTGTGGGATCAAGCGGTTTCTCCCGACTTCTGCGATATCTCGGTCATCTCTTCGGGAATCTCCCCCTTGAAAAGGGGGGGGTTCGTTTTTGGGGTTAGGCCCTTTCGGTTGCATCACAGAAGTGGGTTCCATTTCCCACAGCCCTGGACGCCGCGTGGGGCCCCCGCCTCGTTCGCCGAGAGCGGCCGACGCCGGCGCCGACGGGAGGAGTCGGAGCCCCGCTTCGAGGTGTCGGACCGGCGCCTGGCGAGGGCGGCGCGGCTGCTCCGCATCGCGGCGGCGGCGGCAGGCGGGGGGGTTGGAGGAGGGGGGGTTGGGGGGGGTTTGGGGGGGTTTGGGGGGTTGAGGGGGGTTTGGGGGAGGGGGGTGGGGGTTTTGGTGGGGGGGGGGATGAGTTGTGGTCTGCAAAGTGAGGTGTCCATAGCACAGGTGGTGGCCAAGGCCGCCCAAGTCTCAAGTTTGGGGGAGTCCTTTGGCCTGTCACTTGGGTGATTCATTTTTTTGGGGGGTGTAGGCCCCAAATGCGCGCGGCGGCGTTTCTTCTTTACTTGCGTCCGGCTGGGATCTGACGGGAGGTCGCGAGAGGCCGGGCCGGGTGGAAGCCGCCAGGTGGGAAGGTGGTGGTGGAGGCCGACCTCCTGCTGCTGCGGCACATGTTCTGGGACCGAGACCCTGAGCAAGGCACGGGTCGGCCAGTGCTTGGGTGGAAGGCCTAAAGCAGCAGGCGCATTCTCCCGAGTTTTGGGGATGGCTCTTTTCGGTTGGGCGGTCAAATGGAATCCCGGCTTGGCCAAGACTTTCCTTTGGTCCCTTCCACCCTCAAACTGTTCCACTACAGCCAGCATTACGGTTTGGGCTTGAAGCAGGCTATCAGCTTTGTGCTCGCAGCGCCTGCGTTTGTTGTGGCTGTCTGTTTGGTCATCAAACGGGAGCGCTTTGAAATCGTCTTTGTCAACGAGCCAACTTGTTTTAGCAGAACCTGTCTCGCCTCTCGCCGCCGCAGCTCCTCCTCAATTCATTAGCTTTCCGTCGGGTGGTTCAGGCTCGAGTTGGTTCCCTTCTGCGAAGGATGTCTGTGGGCACGGCTCATTTCCGCGAAAGTTGGCCCTGCATGAGTTGCAGTTGTTGGTGAATGTGGCCACTGGGTGGAAAATTCATGGAAGTTATCCATGTGCCACTGCCCAGGCATGTCGTGAACGCTGCCGAGCGCCAAAACGTGAGACCAGGACGTCCAATTTAAACCAAAGCCACCAGATCACCGGGATCTGCGGGTCCTTGTCTGTGAGGCCAGCTGGTCACCGAGTGGCTCCTGCGGCGTCTAGGGGACGCGGGAGCTGGCAAGAAGGCTGGCGCTTTTGTAAGACGAAGTCTTTGAGTCTCAGGTGGAGCCTTGAAACAGTGTTCGCATCTGATGTCTCGAATCCTGATAGACCACGCGAGCACGGGTCTGCTTTTGAAGGGTCTCTTCTGACGATCTTTTGTTCTGGCCTTTGGGTTGGAGTCGGTTTTCGCTTGTTGTGCGGTCTGGCCGCGCGTTTTTTAACACTCAATGCCATGCAAGGCCCATCAGCAGCCAGGCCCAAACCTATGCTACGAGAACTGGAGCTCAGTAGATACAAAGAAACTGCTGAACAGACCTAGCCTGCCGCCAGGCTTGGCCCTTTCTGCTGGAGGCGTCGGAGAGTTGTGCCTTGTTTTTTTTGTTTTTGTATTCTTCTGATTGGCACCCTTTTTTCCATTTTTTCGCCCCCCCCCCCCCCCGCTCGCAAATTTCATGCTGCCCAAAGAAAGCTCAGCGCAGGGCCTCCAGACGCGGCTTCGGCACGGCCTCAAGGGCCCCGGCCTGGATGCCGCCCGGCGGGACCTCCGCAGCCTGCAGCAGGCGCGGCAACCTATGCTTCACTGTTCTTGGCATTTTTTTTGGTTTTTCAGTTTTTTGGTTCTGCTTATTCTTACTGGGGGTCTGCAAAAAACAAAGTTTTTCGCTACCATACCAAGAGTAGAGATGTATAGGGGGGGTTTGCCCCATGTCTTGTCCTGAGCCTGGAGGATAGATTGTTGCAAAGGAGGGGGTTTGCCCTAAGTCAGCTGAAGCATACGGCGGGCAGTGCTCCCGTTCATTAGCTTTTCGGCCCGTGACATGCGGAGCGCTGCCGGGCAGTACCGCCATAGTGTATGTGGATTGACTGGTTTTTATTTCTTCTACATATGCAAGAAGGAAAGTGCGCTCTTGCCCAGCAAGAATTGTGAGTGTTTAGCAGTCACATCGAACTCGAGGCGCTTTGTGCGCTTAAATGAGGGTGCACGAACAAGAGTTGGAGGTCACAGGGAGGGCACTGCGAGTTCGATTTCTTCTACTCGCTTAATAATTTGTTGTCCTCACGGAGCCAGGCGTGACGGGGTCTCTTGCTCGTTTTTAAAAGTTAAATTACATACTGATATACACTCTCATATACATCTGTATGCACATGTTTCCTTTGTTTGTGCATGCATACATACATTCATGCATACGTGCCTACATACGCGCACAACACACACATGCACACACACGCACGCACGCACGCACGCACGCAGGCAGGCAGGCACGCACCCACACATACATACGTACATACATACATACATACATACATACATACATACATACATACATACAGACAGACAGACAGACATACATACATACATACACACATGCATGCATGCATGCATGTATGCATGCATGCATGCATACATACATACATACATACATACACACAGACATACATACATACACACATGCATGCATGCATGCATGCATGCATGCATGCATTACATACATACATACATACATACATACATACATACATACATACATACATACATACATACATACATACATACATACATACATACATACATACATACATACATACATACATACATACATACATACATACATACATACATACATACATACATACATACATACATACATACATACATACATACATACATACATACATACATACATACATACATACATACACATATGCACATATACACATATACACATATACACATATACACATATACACATATACACATATACACATATACACATATACACATGCATACACATGTACACATATACACATATACACGTATACATACACATATGCATATGCATACACGTACTACATGCATGCATACATATTTACATACATAAATACATACATACATACATACATACATACATATTTATATATATACACATATATTTATACACATACACATATACACATATACACATATACACATATACTCATATACTCATATACACATATTCGCACATACACATATACACATATACACATATACACATACACACAGATACACATATGCACATACACACAGATACACATATACATACACAGATGTATTTGCGTATGCATACATAAATTCGCACGTACATACATGTATGTATATATAGATGTAAATACAGACATGTGCCTGTGTCGCCTTTTTGGGGTGAGGCTGCGGCGCGTGCCATGCTCCGCTTGGCGCAGATTGCGCATGACGCACCCTCTGAGGCCTGGTGAGACCCTGGGGTGGGCGGGGGGTGTGCCGGCCAGAACATGCACCTCGCTTACACAAATAACAGGACATGGCTGAACCATGTGTAGCCTGACAGCCACGAAACCTGACTGTAGGTTTGGGCACTTGCTGCTTTATCTTTTCAAGGCTTGATCAGCCCATGCGGGTGAACCAGCTTGTTGAGGGTCTACAACATCATACATTTGCAAGGTGCGACGGTTACTACGGAAAGTGCATTTTTCTGGCGATGCGCCGATGCCGGACTTTCAACAATGCCTTTGTTTCCTCAGGCGATGCTCCTGAAAGTTGGTTTGCTGTTCAGAGACATGTGGCATGACCGCTGCACGGTGCGGCCATTTCGGGCTGAAGCACCACGACTGTTTTAAGGAAAGCCGATGGCTCAGCATGAATCACCGAACTTAGACGTTCGCGGCATTGTGATGTGACGAGGCGCAACTTGGACACCTTGTGTCGTATTCGTTGACTCAAATATTTTTTGTCCTTTGTATATGAAGTAGTATTCTATATACACACTATATATATATATGAATAGTTAGGTTTTTACATACTTAATATGAATATCTATAAATACATATAAATATATATATATATATATGTATATATATATATATACATAGTTTTTTTTTGGCGATCTCCTTCCCTTTTCCCCAAAACCGGTCCCCTCGCTCCTCCAACTTCTCACGCCAGAGGGAGCTGTTGGATTTGCCAGGTGGCTGAGGGCCCGGACAGGTTCTTCTGGCTGGGGGAGAAAGAGAGGCGCGCTGCGCGCCAAGTGCGTTGCGTGGCTTCGCGTCTTGGGCAGGTCTTGGGGGTACTGTGGATGGTGGCGAAATCCACTTCGCACCACCCAAGAAACCCGAGAATGAGTCGATTTTCCGGTAAGTGCCGACAAACATGGTTTCTTATTGTTTCAAAGTGGTGCAGGATTTCGTCCATACACAGGAATCCACAGTATGGGTCGGCCTATTTTAGCACTGGGGGGCAAAACGAGCTCACCATGGCAAAGATCCTTTACATGGGATCCCTTATGTCAGGCTTTGGACATATTGTAACACTTGCACGCATGGGTGCATGTTCAACGTGGGGAGCCTAGCGCCAGTCAGAATTGCCAACCGGTTTTTGGCTTCGCAGTTGCGACACATCCAAGTTTATGTCTGGACCGTTGCACGGCAAGCTTGAAACCTGGCACATGTAGGATGGGCCGCGGTGAGGGCTTTGGGTCCTCAAGGGGGAAAGTGTCAGGCTGATAGAATGATACCTTACCGAAGGGCAAGCTGCTGGCGATCCAAACTTTGTCGCGCAGCTGTCCGAAAGGGTCCCCCTCAACTCAGACCTTCGCGACCCATGAGCGTTCAAACTGAACGTCCCATTTGCCTGAGCAAAAGGCTGTGCAAAGTCGAATGCGGCTCGTGGATGTCACCCAAAAAATCATCTGCTCGCGTCGTGGAGCGCTGTGGCAGATGCTCGGCTCCTCTCTTTTCGGTTTTTCCTTTGGCGCCCCAAGTCCATTTGGAACGTTTCCGCGGCCCGCGACCAGAACCGGTTGCGTTCCCCTCCGGGCTCTCCCCCTCCCGCATCCCCCTGTCCCAGCCACTGCAGGCGCCAGGCCTGTGAACTGGGCAGACGATGCCAGGAGGACTGGAAAGGGAAGCGCACGGGGGCTTGCTTGAAGCAGAGTTGCCTGCTTGATCCGGTTTTCAGCACATCGCATCTCGTGAGGAATTTCTAGAGATTCGGGTGTGAGTGCGGAACGCGCGGATCGCTTTTGTATTGGATTCGTGGCGGCCGACGGCTTGTAGCTGGTGTCAGGTCATGTCTCCTCAACCTTCCCCATGGCAGAGTTTTAGGCCGGTATCAGCTGTGCCCAAATGACTCAAGCTTGTCCTGGAGGTAACGACAGCCCGACAGTGTCGAAAAGGAATACTATTTGCATTCCGGCGTTTTCTGTCCCTTGCAGTGCACGAATATGGTACTCGTGCAAGGCCCCAGGCTCCCGTTGGCAGAGGACAAATACGACAGATAGTGCAATGCTAAGGAGTTTGCATCAGGATGAAAGCAACTCGATGGCGCAGTTTCCTTTTCGTTGGCATGAGACCACTCCAGTCAGGGAATTTGACATGCTCTAATCCCAGTAATCCAGTCGGTTTAGCGGACAAACGTGCAAACCATGTCAGCAACAACCATGCTTGCATTCGTCCTGGTGGATAATGGTTGTATTTGGCGCCAAGCACTAGCCCCTTTATCCACAAGGCGCTTTTTGGGATAAGCGTGTTTAGTCAAAGGAAGTTTAGTCACCCTAAGGCTCCCGATTCACCACGGGGCGGACTACCAATTCGGGGTCTTGCGCTTGATCCAGCTACAACCCCCCACACCCCAACACACCCCAAACTCTCGACCCCTGCCTGCGAGGCCCCAAAAGAACATCATTTGATTCGCTTTCATGTAACGCACTAATTACTAGGCGAGAGCTTCTTAGGGGTTGAATGTAGGAGTCAACGGGGAGGGTGAGCAAGACTTGTAGGAGCTCCCTGTGCCTCCGTTTACCTGGTAGGTACAAGTTGCGATTCTTCTTTCAACAGCGCGCGAAGTTGCCTGTTTCGCCCCGCGAAACCCTAGCCAATCGCAGCCAGGGTTTCAAGGTGACGAAACCAGAATCGTGAACTCAGTCCCATTTTGCATGCTCAGTGCCGAAAAGGCGCAAAGTTAAAGAAAGTAACCGCTTGGTGGAAATTTGGCAGGAGCAGCCACAAAAGCTCGGTTTTGAGCCAGCGTCGTGCCGTGTTGAGAACTGCTTCAGTCTGCGCCTGCGACAAGACTGTGCGTTCATCGTGCTCGCAGCACACGCTTGTGTATGACCGCGCAAATAGGAACTGCTTGAGCTAGCTCAGAACACGGCGGCCAACCAATAGGGTGTTGCCTTGCCAGCTGCCTTTGAAGAAACCGGCGGGCGCGTAGCACGCAAAGTGCGGCGAAGGCTACGACAATCAAGCGCAGCTGCAACATCCAATTGTTGGCGGGCACACTGGCGCATTGCCAGTCGCAAAAAGCCTTTTTAGGCGTGGCGAGGAGTTAGGAGCAGACAAAACGTTTGCTCTGCGTAAGTAGGTGTGCACTGATCCATTCAAATCTTTGCCAGTTTCTCGGAACTCGGGGGCGGCAGATGTCGTGGGTGTTGCGATCCGTGCCACCCTGCAGCCAAGCTCTGCATAGTCAAAAACAATCATGAAACGGCCCCTCACACAGGTCAACAGCAGATGGTCAACAAAGCGCAAAACAGGCCTCATGACACAGACATCCACGCGTGGCCCATGGGGCTTGTTTAAACTGGGGTTTTGTCAGGGGATCATTTTTGCGCCGACGTCTTTCTGACGCTCGGGGAGTCATGGCGTAGATTGTTGAAGCCCGAAATTTGAGGAGGCCAACCGACGCAAACTGACGCCGACCGACGGCTTTCTGACGCTCGGGGCGTTGAAGTGTCGTAACTTCGCAGCCCCAAGGAGGCCAACCGACGCCAACCGACGCCGACCGATGGCTTTCTGACGCTCGGGGCGTCGAAATGTAGTAAGTTTGAAGCCCCCAAGAAGGCCAACCGACGCTAACTGACGCCAACCGACGGCTTTCTGACGCAAGAGGACGGCCAACCGACGAACGTGACCGACAGCTCGAAACGTCGAACCAACCGACGCCAACTCACGCCAACTGACGCCAAACCCAGCATCCCCAGCAACACCCCCTCCATCACCTGCAAGGAAGAACTCCCGACAGGTTCCCAGGCACCACCAGCAACTCAACCAGATCCCTACACCAATTTGCGTTTGGTGTCTGCGTTACTGTCTCGAGAAGTCGCGTGTTTGCCACTGACAAACCTGAAAAGAGCTGCAGCCGGATGGCGGTTTGCGTCGGTTAGCGTCAGTTGGCGTCGGTTGACCGGCGTCGGTTGAACAGGCGTCGGCTGGCGCCCTTGGTCGGTTGGTGTCGGTTGGTGTCGGTTGGCGTCGGTTGGCGTCGGCTGGCGTCGGTCGGCGTCTTGGCGTCGGTTGGCGTCGGTTGGCGTCGGTTGGCTTCCTGGCGTTAGTCTAGTTGCGTCGGTTGGTGTCGGCTGGTGTCTTGCGTCGGTTGCCTGTGGTTGGCGCTGGTTGGCGTCGCCTGGCGTCGGCTGGCGTCGGCTGGCGTCGGCTGGCGTCGGTTCGCGTCGATTGGCGTCGCCTGGCGTCGGCTGGCGTCGGTTGGCATCGGTTGGCGTCGGTTGGCGTCGGTTGGCGTCGGCTGGCGTCGGTTGGCGTCGGCTGGCGGACGGGTTCCGAAGTCTCACGCGCAGCAAGCTCAAGATCGAGACTTTTCCTGCTCGCGATCGATGAGGGCGCAGTGAACCTCATGGACCTTAACGTCAAAGCTCTGAGCAGGCAACCGCTGAAATTCTGAATCTGGCAGCAGTGGTTTTTGCACATCTTGCTGCACAGCCGCAGACATGAAGTTGCTACCGTAAATGTTCCTGCTTGCCCCCTGGACAGCCGCAGCCGGCTTTGCTTGATGTTCCCATCTTGCCCCCGCTGGGCGTGGACCTAAAATCTTGGAGGCCCTAGGAAGCCCCAAGGTGTCTCCTGGCCAAACCCCAAAATGACGGGGTGTGAGTGGCACACCCTGGGGCGAGGTACGAGCACCCCAAGGACACGACCACTTGAAGCAGAGGATGCGATGGAAGCAACGCCATAAACACTAAAAGAGCAAACAGAGCCGCGAGATCGCGCAAGCTACCTCTGTTCAGAGCACGGGTTCACCACAGTCTCGCACGGGTTCGCCACGAGTTTGGAAAGTTCCCCAATGTGGTGCGACTTTGCAGTGCTCGATGAACCCTCTGCGGGGATCGTGCTAAATCGCTCTCGCAGCGACGCCGTGCGAATTTGCAATGTGCTCGGTGAACCATCTGCGGGGGTTGTGCGTGGGGAAGCACTCTCGCTGACAAAGCTGAAGCAGCCATGTTGGGTTTCACGAAGTCTCACTTCCTGTAGGCATTTCTTTCAGAAACTTCCGTCATCCAGCTTTGCTGCAGCATAATTACCTGATATAATATGAATTTCCTGGGTTGCTGCACTCAGCGTTTTTCAGGCTCAGCTTTGAGTGCTTTGACCCCGTCTCGCGAAGCTGCAGGAATCTCAGCGGCTGCAAGACGTGCTCCGCGAGACCTCGGTGCTGATCCAGTTGGCCCGGCTCCAAGATACCGTGGGGGCGGGCGGGGCTCGGAAAAGCAGATGATGCCCATGCACGCAAGCCATCGTAGAAGTGAAGCGGGCCGCTTTCAAAAGGAGTCGCCAAAAGCGCCCCTGACAGCTTCCGTGCAATGCCGACCATATCTGGTGCACCTGGCATGTTCCGCATGCACCGAGGCCTCGGTGGAGGATGAGCAACAGCGGGAGGCAAGGATGGGGGGTGGGTACGGGTCCCAGCTCCCAGCCATGCGCCAGAGGTGAGTGGCGGCGACCAAAGCTGGAAATGGTGCACAGGAAAAGAAACAGATTCTGGAATGTCAGGCCCCCTTCTGTTAGGTGAGTATTTCTGCCCGCGCATCGTGAACCTAAGCCCGAAGGCAAACCACACTTCCCCCAGGCATGGTCATCTAGGGCGACTTGCGCAGCGAAGGGCAACTTGGTTTTCAACCCTGCGGAATACTGTGGGATGCGCGGGTCGAATTTCGGCGCGTGGGCAAAGCAGAGGTTGTGCTGCTGCCATTGCGACTCCTGACCCAAGTTCCTGGAATTGATGCCTCTGGGAGCTCCATTTCAGTGTTTGCAAAATGTCAGACACTTCTCACTTTCCGGCAAATCTCTTGAGCAAGTTTTTTTTGCATCAGCAAGGCCCAGGCAGACACATTGACCCGCATGTCATGCATGTTCTGTGCGCCGTGCGCACGTGCAGAGGATGCTGCAATTCAACTTTGAACGAGAGTGCATTCCAAAAGGTGAAGAGGTCAATACTCAATCATGATTCCTACTGCTGCGCCGCCTACGAAACCCTGGAACGCTGATTCTCCAGTAAATACCAACAACTAGTGGTTTCCAATGGTTTCAAAGTGGTGCAGAAATAAATTCCATCCACCCGCAGTACCTTTAGCTTCGGTAAAACCGTCCAACCCGAAAGCCTGAGACAGGAGCTGCTTTGTCGCCGCCTGGGCATGGAACGCGCCACCCAGAAAAAGGAGGTCCGCTATGACGAGTGGGGCGACGAGATCTGACGCCGTGAATCGTTTCAGCCGGCTCACGCCACCACCCCAGGCAGGCGGGGGCTGGCAGCACCTTTCTTCCGAGCCACGCAAATGGCTCTGGACTCCGTCTCGGTCGGAGTCGAAACTGAATTCATTCTGACTGTGGCAGCCCCTAAGCCACACTGGGCCGAGACCCTGAATGATGCCATTGAATTCCAGGCTGCACTTTGAATGCGCTGGCAGACTCTGGACGCTTGAGCAGAGACACAATCCGAGATACACCTTTGGATTTCAACAATTTTAGTGCTTTGGTTGAGCCAGCCTCTCCATTAAAGTTGACCGGTTCCTGCAGGGATTCCAGGGCTGCTCAACACCACAGCGCTTCTCTTGATGTAGTCAGTTGATATGTCTTGTTCATTCATTGTTCCCCACATGATGTGCAAGATGACCTATCTTGATCAAGGGGTCCTTTCCTCCACACCTAACAAGCCTGCCAGCACGCCTTACCTGTCTGAACCTGGGCTTCCTTGCCATTGCGCACTATGCTAGAACCCCATCATGTTTGATGGCTGATGACTTCTCACGCTTGAGCGGAAGGAGTAACTGGTCAGAGCCTTGAATGCAACTCAGTTCCTTAGTTCGGTGCATGGAGACCGGGAAGTCTCTTCCAGCAGCCAGGAGTGGGCCATTGGTCAGCGCGAAAGCAAGCCTAATTTTCAGAACGCTGTAGGAAACACCCGGCGCCTTTCGAGCTATCTTTCTCACCGGCTAATGCCGCGCGCGGCATTGGCATCTCATTTCCAGGCTGCTGAGCGGGATTTCTGGTCCTTGCAGCCCGCGGACCAGCCGTCTTCCGTTTGCTGCTGAGTCCGGGGTTCGCGCGAGAGCACTGGAACCGGGGATCGGCGGGCTCCGTTTGCCACTTGCACCCTAAGTCTTCCATACTGTGGATGGAGGAAATCCAATTTGCACCACTTGGAAACTATGGTTGAAACCATGGTTGGTTGGTATTTACAGGGGAATCATCAGAAACCAGGGTTTCTTAGGTGGTGCGAAATGGATTTCGGGCATCCACAGTAGGGAATGAGCTCTGGCTGGGCTGGCGCTTGCGCCGCCGTGCTCCAGTGATACCCCTTTCGCCGAGCCAAGGAAAGGGACAGATCCAGGCAGGTCGCCAGGTACTCCGTGGTTTAATCTGCTGGAAAAACGCTAGCATGGCTACAGTAGTCACCCCGGTTTCTGAAAAAATCATAATTGTTGAAGGCTGCTTTTGAGAAGCCCTTGTTCGCTGGGCTTCTTTAGTGCCCACCTCGCTGGCTCCAGGCTGCTCAGTGCCCACGAGTTGGCTTCGTGAACCGAAATCTCAGGTCGCGGCTCGCGGCAGTGGCCACTTGAGCGATAGGTTTTCTCTTAGATCCGTTTCCTTTCATGTGCTCCATGCCTGACACAACTGGCTTTCCGTAGGGATCTCGATCGCCGGTGCCTTTCACGAGGTCTCTCACTCGCAGATGGGTGCAGAATTCGCGCTTCGAACCTGGCGGGGTTTCGCCGGTTTTTTTTACATGGGCCAGCCCGGGGCCGGGCGAGGGGAAGGCCGATCGCAAGGACCGTGCAGGAAAAAAAGACGGGTGCAAGTTGATGCCTTGGCTTTCGCATTGGGCAACTTCACAGGTTTCATCAAATCTATCATGGAGAGCTCGGCCACCCGTCGCCCGGGGTCGCTGGATCTGTATTCATGGCTTGTTGGCCAGAATGCCAAGTGGGGGAACCTGGGCAAAGCGTTCCGACTTCCCGGCCTTGGAGGCTGGGGAGCGAGCGAGCGCTCGCAGCAAAGCGACAAAGTCCCGGAGATTGCAGAAAAGCGGGCCGGATGATCTCCGCTTGGGCTGGGATTTGCCGGCACTCCCTTCCCAGCCCCCGGCCGGTGTACAAGCAGTGGTTTTGTTTGGGGAGAGCTGTGGGTCTGACTTTGGAACCCGTTTTCCCGCCCGCAGTTGAGGTGGGTAAGGTCCATGAGTGCTGTTGAACCAAGCGAACAGGTCAGCCGGCCACATCAGTAAGGAGAATGATGGGCTGATTTTGGACTGTTCCCTTGCCAGTTGCCACTTCCGTAAATGCTGGACAAAGATATGCTATGGCATCCTCCAATCCTCCAACTGCACTCTGGGCAGCACTTGTGCAAACGGTTGTGTCACGCCCCCGGAAGTCGGGTGTAGAAGAGAAAGCCCCTGTGCTATGCCTGTCAGCTTGCTGCTTGCTTTAACAAGAGCTGAGTTCCACCATCAATTGTTTGGTGGTGGGTCCCGGCCAAAGGAGCATGACGTAACAATTGTAAACGCGTGGCCCAATCAACACTGAGCCTGTCAGGCCGCGATGTCAACTCTTGGTTGCGTTGCTGCATGTTTCCCATTTGCTCGGATCCTCGCACGGTGTACTCCTTCAAGAAGCGTACTTTGCTTCTCGCTTTGATCCGGGGGGTGAGTTCACCTGTTCAGTACGTTTTCTGGTCGCAAGGCAGAAGCAACGGCTCTTTGTCTTGCGGTTCGCAAGACCGGTCCTTTGCAATCCTCCACCAAAGATGCACATGTCGACTTCCTGGGCTCCATGGGTTGGACTCACTGCACGCAGGGCCGAGGCGGAAGAGAAGCGGTGCTGCGGAGCGGGCTGCACCCACTCGATCTGGATGAGGGCTGGTTGGAGGCCGGGTGCGCGTCTTTTTTGTGGACGTGGCACTTCGTCTTCGAAGTCGTTTTGTGGGTGGGGCCCCCCAATTGTACGAATCCTCTATCATGTGACAGCCCGTAATCCAGCAGTGGGTTCCACATCTTCTTTCTAGAAAAAGCAGACATGTGTAAAGCCATGAATGCGTAAATCAATAGACAACAACCAGATAAACCAACATATACGTAAGTCAATACCCAATTAAATAGATAGTTAGCAAACACACACAGATGCGTATACATATATATATATACACATACATATACATATGCATATACATGTACATATACATATACATATACATGTACATGTACATATACATATACATATACAAGTATGTATATAAATATATACTTATATACATATTTTTGAATCCCACTTAACTTGCGGCAAAAATACGCAAGTTGTGCCATTCCGACGAATTCCTTGCAGAGGGCCTCGAAGCTTGCGTAGGAGTCCAGCGAGCCCGCCTACTCTGCGATGATGGTGGAGAGAAGGGCTGTGCTGCAGGAGGGAGTTTCTGAAGAACAAGGTCGCGGGCCTCTCCGGGTTCCTTAAAAGATAGCTGCCAGCCAAAAAGTCGGCCACATAGCTGATGTAGAGGATCCTCGGTGTAAAGCAGGTGACTTTGGGATGTCCGTGTTCAGAACGGCTGCTGATTCTGAGGAGATTCCTTTTTGGCCCTAGGGTTAAACTAACGGTTAGGGGAGCCAGCGCATGCGAAAGGTTTGGATTAGAGAGCTGCGTTTGCACTCGTACGGCAGGCGTTGTTGATGCTTTCTGTCAGCCGAAAATCAGGTTCCCAGTTTGCCGTGTTTCTGTGTCTAGGCACGGGGGAGCCAAACAAGATTGCGTGCCTTCTTTTGAGAACACTCAACCCCAGTTTATTAATATGGGGGGTGTCCCCCTCAAGTGATAAATCTCCAACAAACAGGGGTTGAGAGCCAAAAGGAAGCCACCCACGGAACTCTCTTTGAGCCGCAGACAAGGAGCAGCGGCACCAGGTGCTGGTGGAAGCGCCGGGCACACGCGGAGCCCAGGAGTGGGGGGGTTGGGCCAGCTGGAAACGGGAGGTCCGGGGCCTGTGGTCCTTTTTAGTTTGGTTAGAACGGATACTTTGTGCCGTAGAAGAGACATCTTTTCTCCGTGGAAGGGACGTGTTTGCGGTAGAAGGACGTAGTAGGGATATTTGTTGGGTGCACCTTTTGCGGGTTGTTCCCTTGCATCAAGTATTGTGGATCTGTTTTGCGGCCGTTGGTTTGCACTTGTTTGGGCTTCACGTGGAGCCCGCGTTGTACCAATCAGCCACTCGTGCAAAAGCTAAATTGACAGATGAGACTGGTATGAGCCCGGTGCTGACACACTTGTTGAAATGGTATACGAAGCATGCTGCATAAAAGTGCCTTGCTCGGCCAATTGTAGTCGCCATTTGAACTGAACATGGTTAAACACAACCACCTTTCCCAAACCATCCAAGCATAGCCTTTACAAAGACATGTGCTTTGCTACTTGGGCCATTTAATTGATACGCCTTCCTTACATGAAATTCTTCGATGCTTTGAGAGCACGGCTGTCAAAGGACGCGGGCTGCACCGTTTCTGCTTTGCCTTTTGGCTTTGGGGTTCTTACTCTGCCAACGCAGACTGGCGCCTTACACTCCATGCAGAGTGGCCTCTGGAGCGCGCCCGGGAGGTCGCCAAGCAAACCATGGCGTAGTTTCATTTCTCCCAGCAAGGAACTGCGCGTGGCCTTTGTGGAGCGCCCTCGCTGCCAAGTAGAGTGATGGCTTCAACTTCTTCTATTCGTTCGGCTGCTGGAGCACTTGCGCGCTGCCAAAGCATGCTCGAGCGCGCTGCCGGGCTGCAAGCACGCTCCCCCGATTGCCGCCAAGCAGGCTGGTTTGCCCTGTTCCGCCGCAGGATTGCGCGTGGCCTCTGCAGCGCATCTCGGGAGCACGCTGGCCAGCAAACTGGCGGCAAATTCTTGTTCCAAGGGCTTGCGAGTTGCCTCTGAAGTGCGCTCGCTTCCTAATAAGCGTGTTTGTGAGCGCTCTGCCAGGCTTCAAACAGGCGCCTTGGTGCCTCCCAGCATAATCATGGCTTTACGTCTCCCTGCGCGTCATGGCGCGCGACTCTCAAGCGCGTTCGAGAGAAGGCCGCTAAGGCCGCTAGGCAAATCTGTGGCCTGACTTCTTCCCTGCAAGGGATAACGCTGGCCTCCAAAGCGCTGCCGAGCGCGTTTGCCAAGCCCGCCGGTAGCTTATGTTCTGTGGGCGAGACATGTGGACCCAAAATTACGTCTAGTCCACTAAGCCAGAGCAGTGGGACCAATCCCGCTCTGCGAGAATGCCACCCTCTGCGGGGATCGGCGTGGTCGATGACATGCCCGCGCGAGCCTTTGCGGGGGGCGTGGCCCCAGTGCAAAAACCGAGGGCCTTCGCTATTTTGTGAGTCGCGGAGCGGCCTTGTTGAAGTGCAGAACTCGGGAATTTAGCTACTGCTTAACAGGGCCCACGCGAACCTCGACGGGATCAGCGTGGTCGAGGAGCAAATGCTTTGGACTTTTGCTACTTTTGATTTGCGCGCGCGGCCACCTGCTTGGATCGGCATGGTCGGTGTACCAAGCTGATGGCTTTTGCTAAACTCGGCACTCCGCAGGTGTCGGCGGAGTCGGCGTCAAACTTGAGCACTTTCGCGGCGTTTGGACATTGTTTCGTTGTCGGCGCTGCTCTTGCAGTCAGGAGGTTCCCAAGTCTCTCAGCTCGACATCGCAACTTGACAGCGCCAAAGCAGCGCATACAGCACGTTTTCGCAGCTCTAGCTTGAAAATGGCAACTCTTCAACACAGAGGCAGTGTGTGAAGTGGATTTCCGCAGCTTCAGCTTGAAATCGCAATTTTCTGGTCAAAGTAGAACATGAAGCGCCATCCCACAGTCTAGCTCAAAATAGAAAACCTCTCGGTACAAAGGCAATTTGCAAAGTGTCAGTTCGAGAAGCGCGGCTTTGTAATACAGACAAGCTTCTGCCGGCGCGTGTGGCGCACGTCGGGACAGCGGAGGACATCATCACTCAGCTCCCCCAAGTAAGGCCTTGTCAAGTAAGACCTCCCCTTCGGCCGTGGAACGGCCGCGACTACGCTTTGGAGAGAGGGTGTCAACATCCAATGGTTCAATATATTATGCTATATGGTGCTCACAAACATGATGAGCTGCGCTGCGCAGGCGGCTGCGGGCGGCGCTGTAAAGCTGCAGAACTGCGGCATTCTACGTTACATATGCCTTGATGCGACGTGCGCGAGCATGTCGTGCATGAAGGCACGCACCGCGTGCCGCACTCACTTTATGTTATGCTTTCGGGCCACCCGTTCTTCATTTTTTCCGTGGGCTCGCGCGGCCAAGCCTGAGGGCAATTTGGAGAGCAGCTGTTGGCCTTTTTTCACCGAAATGTTTCTGAAATCACGCGCTCGTTTTAGGGGTTCCGGCCCAGGTGTGAGCCAGGCAGAGGGGGGGTGGAGGCACACTTCTCGCAGCCCGCAGGAGGAGCTCAGAGACTTGGTCTTAAAGCACCTCGCAGGGCAGCCCAGAAAGGGGCAGTGCCCGAGACACCAGGGGAGAGGCGCAGGTTTGGCTCAACCAAGTCAGGTACTCTCAGGTGGTTTTGAGTATTTCGGGAGGTTCCCTGTGACATCCAGGCTTGGTGGCGTCCCAGTTTCATACCGGCCTCATAGTTCCTCGGCATCACTTCGAACGCCTCTTGACTCGGCTGGATTCGCTTTGTGGCCCACGTCCTCCCGCAAAATGCTTAGGAGGTGTCAGGCCCATCAGGAATGGTGGCGTTATTTGCGACGAATCTCCCGAGCCTCCAACAACAAGACGAGGCTTGCGGGTGTGCCCTAGCCGTCGGGCTCCGCCTAAAGTCGCGAAGCTTCGGCGCTCGCCGGCGCTTGGGGCCATGGAAGCCATGGTCGAGGAGAGTGTGCAGGCGCGAAGTTTGGGTACGGATGGGTAAGGGCCGTTGAAATAGCAGCCTCTTGAGTTCCTTTTCTTCAACGCCCAACTCAATGGGGCGTGTGGAATCATTCAGAGCGGCCCATTTCATCCACGGCCCTGGCATGGGACCTGAGGATTATGTTTGCCAGTGGAACAGACCGCCGCCATTCAGAAATGAAAAGCACCCATGGCCGCCCCTTTTGTTTCTGTGCAAACAAGGATGGTTCTCTTCAAGTTGAGTGCTTAGTATTGCATGGCCGGCTGTTTCCACTGGCACACGCGGGCACTCTCAAACCGGGGACACTTCTGGCAAGATACAAACGCAGCAGATGACAGATCGCATGTTGGCCAGATCGCCCTTCCGAGTGCCAGGCAAAGGTCAGCCTGCAGACGGAGCGGGAGCAGCTAAAAGCAGTGGAGGTGCAGTTTTGAAGGGCTGGAGCGAAGCCTTTCGGGGTAATGTGGGCTCAGCAAACAGCATGGAACAGCATGGCCACAAAGCTGAAGAAGCTCGTGGCTTCAAAAAGGGATCGGCTAAACTTGCTGGTGCTCAGTAGGGCAAGGGAATGAACCCAGGGTCTCCTTGAAGGAAACCAGAAGGGATGGTTTAGTTCGGTTCGCCGTCATTCCCTTTCTCATTCCCTGCCTATCGAACCGGCAAGTAAAGGTATAGAGCACCTCCATGCAGATTTCCAGTCGCGCCGCCCATCCAGACCACAGGGAGCCTCGAAATGTGGCGCAGATGCTCCTGCTTCAAGGCTCTTGAGGCTGCTGTGCTCGTTTCTTCTGTTGCGGTGCGCTTGCGCAGGCGAGCTTCATAACTTTGACCCAGTGCTTAGAGTCGACCTTGAACAGGCGGGGCGCTGCCAGGGTTGGTAAGTTCAAAGGGTTGCTTCAAACCTGGGAGTGCGCACTCATAGTGCTTGCAAGCAGCAGGCGATGTTGCTTGCGCGTATCTGGGCATGGAAGGTTGCGGGGTCCAAGGCGTGTACGATAAGGTGCAGTAAAGAAAGACTTCCTGAGGTTCGCAGTAGGCTGCAGGTGCAAGGGGCTTCACAGATGACTGAGCCCAGAGTCGGCCACAATTGCGCCCAGATAGGGCAAGGCCCTTTTTTCAACGCGCTGCTCGGCGACTCGATGTCCGAAAATGGCCACTCCTGTTGTTTCAAGATTTCAAGATCGGCTGGTTTCACGTGACAGCTCGCTGCCTTGCTTTTGGCAGGCTTCTTGGGACGGGAAGTTGTCCAAAGCTGGTCTTGCGACAGCTCTGGACCTATGGGTTGACAGCGTGTCGCACCCTGAAAGGCTGGAAGCTGCGGTTGCGCAGCCGGCGGTTGCGCGGCAGCCGGAGAGCCCGGGGGCAGGGGAAGGGTGGAGCGGGGTGCAGCAGAAACCTTCGGAAGCTTCGAGAAACAAGCACGGGTGGGTGTCCCTAGTGCTAGGGAAAGTTTAGGGGTCAAGCAGCTGGTGATTTATTTGCTCATAAAGATTTGACGAAAATTTGGAGAATGTTATGCAAAGTATCGCGCGACATTCTGGCAGAGATCTGGCAAAGATATGGAAACAAGTTGGGTGACGCTTGGGAAGAATCATGCAAGCAAGGGGTGACGAGTGTGGCGATGACAGCCGACATGGACGCGCAGACAACACGTCAATGTCCTTCAAGGCCAAGAAGGTTGGATGAGCCTTTGTCTGTTTGAAGGGAGGGGCCCGCCCGGCCTTTGCTCCTGTTTTTCTGGGAGGAAGCAAGGCAAGCAAATCGATATGGATTTGGTACTAATGCTCGTGTTGGGGGAGATCTGCATGTTCGCGCCGGCACGAGGTTTGACTGGGACTCGCAGCAGAAGGCGCTGGGAGTGTACTGCTCTGTTTTTTTCTCTTTTTTCTTCTTCTTTTTTTCTTGGGCTTGGCAGAACTTTTGCGCTGGCACCTTCCACCGTGAGGCTGAGGTGTATATTCGTATGTTCGCTTTAGTGGGGGAACGCCATGTGATACGCACGGTTTGTTGCCAACCCGCTCTATACCTCTTCAAAGATGTACGGGCTATTGGGAGCTTCGAGGGGACTTTGCCTCGAGCCTACTTTCGCAACTTGAGCGTGAGCCAATCTAAGACTCTTCTCACATGAGTGCGCGTTTTTGCAACTGCTGTTCGAAGCATGGCCGTTGATAAGTTTCGCTCTTCTGGTTGTGGGTTGAACTCTTGGGCTTTCCTGCTGGGTATGCTGGGTGGGATCTCCGGGTTGACGAACCCATCTCAGGAGGTGGCCTTGCTCCCGGAGACGGTGGACCCCTACCCGAGGCCCATCAAAGAGTCCTGTGAGCTCAAGCCGACTTTGGTGAACTGCGAAAGCAAAGATTCGGCCTTGGCGCCTTGTTTTGCCGCAGGCACCGCTTTCGGGAAAGGCAAGTGGCTTGTTCTGCCCTCCCCTTTTCAAGCTCAACTCCGGGCTTTCTTGTTACCATTTTGTCAGCGTTGGTCTCGACCCGCTGGCTTCAGCGAACGGGCCCCTTCAAATGGTTCTCCAACGCGCGTGCGCCCAAACATTCGCCTCAGCCAGGGCCTGCACAAAGCAGCTAGAGTACATACTCAGATGGAGCGTCACGCGCGGGTTTGTTGGCCCAACATCCAGACCCCCCCCGCCCCCAACCCTGAGGTGTAAATAGGGGGACCCAAGTGGCCCCGGAATGAACACCTCGTAGGTCCTTGGTGGATCTACTCCGATGCAGAACGAAGATGTGATGTAAGAAGTAAATGAGCAAATAGGTATGTAAGCAGTGTTTGGTTCCCAACAGGAACAAAAGTGTCACAATACCACAAATCAGCAAAGCGGTCTTGTTTTGCTCTCTGTGAAAGTTACAAACTACCAGGCCTTGAGCCAAATAAATGGCAGGCGGATTGCATCATGAGTGGAATACTGTGAATCAAGCACAGAACAAACGAGGAACAAAACAGACACAATCTTTTCCAGTCATGGCATCACTAACTCATATGGGAATACTGCCAATGATCGATTTTTCTCACCCGGCTCCATAAGCCTAGAATATGCGGAGTAGTGCAGTGTTAGCACGTCAAAATCTACTGAGGATCCGGAGGAGCTGCCCAAGGTCGAGGCGGTAAAGACCGACGCAACCGCTACCTACACGATGGAGGCAGGGCGTGGAGTGCTGGGAGTGCTGGGAGGAGTGCTGGGAGGACTCACGCTGGGAGGACTCACGGGGAGAGAGGTTGGGAGACATATCAAGAGGGGATGCAGCAGCTTTCCCTGGCCCGAATTCTGCATGCGCCCAAGCCGCTGGTAGCTTCCCCAGGCTATGTCGGACAGCCTCTCTCGGTTGCATTGCCTTTAGTTGTTGGCCAGCCGTTGCCCCTGGGCAAAGGCCAAACACTACATAGATTTTTTTTTTTTTTTTTTTTAAACATATCCACGGCATACAGCTTTAAACCAACGTGCTGGAACCAGCCTGCGCACCTTGATCCCCATGCAACCGTGGCGTTCCTCGTGTCAGTCAGGAGGCGGAGGCCACAAGATCCATGCACCTGATATCGGGTGTGAAGAGCCCGGAGGGCATGTTCGCACTCTGTCAGAATTACCTGGACTATGTTGCTGGGGCCCTGGCGGCTTGGCAATAAGAACTCTTGCTGCCTTCTGTTGTTTTTTTGTTTTTTGTTTTGGTTCGTCTTGCGCACGCCTCTCAAATTGAAGCTCTTGTTTTGACGGCGCCTGTGCCTGCAAGTCTGCAAGTCCATATGCCTTCGAGCCTGTGAGATGGTGAGACTGTGAGTCAAGCTTCAGGTGATGCTGAACTCCATAGCCCCTCGGACAAGAAGGGCCAGTCTGTTGCCGGCGTCCGTTCGCAGCGGGAACTTGGCGACGCTGGATGCTGTAGGCCGTTGTCAACCTGGAGGAACTCCACCCTACTTGTTTTACGGGCACATAAGCCGGATAAACCTCCACGCCGTGGATGATGGACTTTCCGTTGTGAGTGAGGCTATGATGGTGGAGCTGCAGATGGAAGGCATGTCCATTGGTTTTCGGCGCCTCGGCGCCGTTTGAGCGGCAATGCTGTGATAGTGATCTAAGTGCGGTTGCATCATTCCACCCGCCTTTTGCTAAATGTTTCAGGATGCCTCTTTTAGCGTGCTGCAGTTCCCCATCTAAATTGTCCTCGCAAGGCATCCGTAGGCCAACATTGTGGCGTTTCATGCCCCTGGGCACCTCAAGCAGTCTCTTCTCCTTGTTTTTTTCAAGTGCAAGCATGTGCCAAAGGCACTCCGGAAAGCCCCCATAAACACATGCGCACGGGTAAATCATCCTTCATTCGAGCCCCCCCCCCCATTGATCACCTGTTTCTCTGCACCGGACTCCAATCCCGGCCCGGCCCGCAAGCTCGGCATAAAGCTGCTATCCATTGAGGAATTCGGTGTGCCCAAATCGTTCTCTGCAAAGTCCAACTTGAGGAACTTTTTGCGGCAGACCGTTTGCAATCTCCCTGGGCTGGAGGAAGAAATGCATTTGGCCATCATATGTTGCACCCGACCTGAAGATTGGTACGCCTGGATCCAGTCAATGCAAGCAGGAAAAGCGTTTTCCCTTGACTCGGGAAACCACCAATCGCAAGATGCAGTGACCTCTCTGCATAGGACTGGCTTCGTTATTTTGCTATGATCAAAGTCACCCGTCACACCCGCCACGTGGTAGGTTAAAGGGGGAACGACCCTGTTTTCTGACTTTGAGAACCCCCAGAAACAGAACCAAAATACTGACCCGAGTAGGAGAACCCAGAAATTCGCGGCCAAACAATCGCGGACGGGTGGTCGAGGCTGGGCCTGCATGGCGAAACCATTCCCTTGGAGGAGAATGGGAGCCGGGCGGGCAATGGGCCCCCGAGAAAGGCTGCCAGGTTCCGTGTTAAAACACAATTTCTTGGGTTTCTTGCCTCAAAAAGGGCCAGGGGAAGAATGGCAGCCATGTGCGCCTTGGGCAGGGTGCGCTTCACCTATGAATGGTCCTTCCTTTGGACACGGGGGCTGGAGTGCAGGCTGGCCCCATGTTTTTGGCGTTTGGAGACAGAATTCCCCGTTTCAAGGCACTCCGTTGTCCACTGATCGGATTTGAGAGTTGCTCTTTTTTGGGGAGCTCTCTTTCCGGTGGCTTGATTTCCTCCGTCTCCCATGTCTCGGGGAGGTACGGAGCTCCAAGAGTCAAAGTGCGAATTCCATGGACTCCTGAGAGAAAGATTCCAAGACGGGCTTTAAGACTTACAAAGGTGGCAGTAGGGCTCAGTAGGGCTTTGCATTATGTACAAAGGGGTGGCCGCAGCAGCCTTCATGAATTCCCCAATCGGGAAGGCCCGGAATGATAGCACATCGTTTGAGACAAGAATACGTGGACAGAGCCCAGCCCGAAGAAAACTCGCAAGCCCCCCAAGGAAACGCGCCAGTGAATCGCGGTGTCAACATGTTGAAAGCAGGCCCTCCAAATGCTGGGTTTGCTTTGGTCTCCGTGCAAATCTGTCCCCAAAAGGGTTCGGGGTTCTTGATACGCGGCCGTATCTTCTGAGGGGAACGGCGCGGTGGGCTGCTTGTGTGGATGGGCTTAAGAGCCTTATCGTCATCTTGGCGGACTCTGGTGCGTAACTTTGCGTTGTGTTCGGAAATCCAGGTTGCCTGATGACGATGCCAACTAAAATAAGGCCACCAACCAATCAGATCCGTGTCAATGAATGGATGTGTGTTTCAACGCAGTATTCCGTGCTGAGCACAATGAGGCGCTTAGTTGAAGTAGAAGCAATTCATCGACCCCTAGCAGGACGTCAGTCGGGTCTTCGAGACGATCGATGCGGTCTTCGTGTTTGTCTTCCTCTTTGAGCCTCTTCGGCCGAAACTCTGAACTTGTTTGTTGCTAGCAGTCTGTGATGCCTTGGGATATTTGCGTTACTTTCAACACGAGCTTTCTGCATCTCAGTTTAACCCGAGGAGCAGAATGCTAAGTGAAAGCCCCCCCCAGCCTGTGACAAACGAATTTCCGCCCGCCCTCGTTCCCTTGCCTGAAGT